GGGGAGGCGGCGGGCGCCCTCGTTTGCCGTCCTGCCCCGGCGGCAGGGGCTGGCGCGGCGATGCCTTTCCCGCGGCTGGCACCGGCTCCGAGCGTCGCTGGGTAATGCTTGTGCAACTCCGTTCAGCTCAGGATGTTCAGAAAATCAGTCCGCTTCCAGTAGCGCGCCGAGTCGGTGCCGATGGGCACCGCGGGCCCCCCTGGGGTGGACGGACAGATTGGGGTTTGCTTCTGACGACGGGCGCTGCTGCAGGTGCTTGGTAACCGCTGTATTTCTCTGCACAAGGCCTTCCCTGTGTACTGTATCCTCTGCACTTCTGGTGAGTTAGGGAAGGTGTATTGATTTTTCTGGGACCTGCTGTGAGTTGGCTTTTGCTGAAATGCGGTGACTCAGCTGCCTTCCCTGTTCTGTGGATCCAGTGTATTGGGATTAATCTGGGCAGAAGATTGTACGAGTATTTCCTTGTAACAATAGCTCTTTCAATACTGTGTCCCCTTCCCCAGACCCTTAGGTCTGGATTAGATCTTGGCACTGGTTTTCTAGCCCAGATCCTCCAGTGCATCCATGCAAAGCAAACACACACGTGCAGCACAGACCGTCCAGGAATGCATGGATCCAGCTCTTGATAAAATCTGTCGCAGACCTGGGTTACAGGCTGCAGGCTCCGAGCAGGGGCCGGGCTCCTTGCGTTTCACTCTTTTGGGGGCTGCAGAGAGGAAGGCTCGTGTGGACCGCTGCAGCGTCGGGGCTGGATTTCTCCTGAACCCAGAGCTGCCAGGGTGCATCCACCCCGTGTTCAGCCCCGGAGGCCTCCCTGCTCTCCTCTCCTCATGCCTGCTGGGCCAGGGGCCCCTCTCCACCCTTGTCTGCCAGCAGGTTTCTCAAAGCCTTTCTGCTCGGTTTCAGATGAAGGCATGGGGTGCTGGAATGAATCGGGCCTCTGGGCAGTGTTTTATCACCTGATGATGGCTAACCACAGGCGACGTGATTGCAGCGATGAGAAACGCAGCGATGTTGGGCACCTCGAGCCTTTCCCCGCTGGGCTCGTCCTTCCTCGCAAAGAGAGTGAGAAACATGCCGGGGCCGACGCGCCGGCCGCGGAGAGCTGCAGCGCCGCGAGTTCTGCCTGCCGGAAAACGTTTGC